GACTCTGTTCCTTATTTGAAAAGACCATGCCACTTGTAAACCATGGTTTTACCAGGGGCAGAGTCCACGTAAACCGCCAACAGCTCTTGAAAAATAATCTGAGCGGATTTTCCTTGCTTGGTAAGGAACTTAATAACGGCGCGGTGTTCAATTTTCTCCATACTGGGTGACTTCTTCCCGATTCAGTTGTTTGCAGTTCAATAATTCAAAAGTTAATGACCCGATTGATATTGATAGCATAGATTAGGTTCAAACTTGGTATATATCCTGTTAATGAGGTGCTCAACTAGTGCCTACCTGGATGAGTAAACCTACCCCCACCAACCCCTCCATTCCGTGAACTTATTGACCTCCCCTCGTAAGATTATGTAGTCGGGCAGTTATTAAAATTTAGTTAGAAGTTATGGAAATCTATTTTTATTTGATTTGAAAATCCAGTCTGTTTTACTTAATTCATTTTTATTTAGTACCGATCAAAATGTTTATATCTTAGGTTAAAGTTAGGAAGGAAATTATTTTACTTATAAAACTACAAACATAGGCATTCTGTTAAAATAAAAATACCAAAGAAAAATCGAACCAAAACAAGTTATACTTTTTCAGTTATTTTGTCGTAGAATCATAAAAATTCTAACTAGAAAACTACGAAAAATCGTAGGACATACATGGGGGTTAAATTGATGAGTATGGTACTCCCCTGCCAGCTCGCACTGGCTCGACACCCTAAAAGAAACATCCTGTATATATATTTATAAATATATATATTAAACTTTAAACATTATTCAATGAGTACTTACATCGAAGTGATCTTTGCTAAAAGAAATGACTTACATTAAGTCGATAAAATTTCAGGATTTGTCAAGTTTTAAACACGTGTTCATGTGTAGGTAGAGTCTGTGCGGAAAGAGAATGGGTGTGGCGAAAAACGGAACTAACATTAAGATTTTTATTTGGCAATCAAACCCAACAATCTGTAAAGCGTCAAAGTTTTGTATAGATACGGATTTGTTTGTTGTTGTGATTTCTTGCGTTTTTTTTATTTAATCTTGTCTAAAAGGGGTAAAACCTTATAAATACGGTAGAAAAGCACTACAGCGCCCTCCAATCTAAATCCCATTCTCCTTCCGCACAGACTGTGTTTTTCTCTAGGCAATTTAAACCACAACTTTTCTGAAGTCTTTAACAATGTGTTTCTACATTTTCGTATAATACAATCACGATAATTACTATATTTTTCATGTAATCTATTAGAAATCATGGTTTTATAATATAAATTATTTCCTACGTGCTTGCGAGTGTTTGTTTACAGATATTTTGACGTCATAGCATAGATAAATCTATAGACTAAAATAGCCGACAGCGTTTTTGTATGTCCATGAAAAATCTATTTTAAAATCAGTTTTGTAGCTTTTAAGTTTATTAGATCACTAGAGATCGCCCGCGACATCGTCTGCGTTAACTTAGTTTCTTTGTAAATCCCTCTGGAATCTAACACTTTTTCGGGATAAAAGTAGCCTATGTGTTAATCTAGGGTGTCAGCTAACTCCATACCAAATTTTATGAAAATCGCTCCAGCCGTTTAGACGTGAAGAAGTAACAAACATACACACTCACATACTCACAAATTTTTGCCTTTATAATATTAGTGTGATTAAACTGTTGATTTGCTGACCTAGTAATGATCCTCATTGCTAGACGCTGGACATGGCTGCACGCGAAAATATTGACAAGACACCAAAACTCAAGAGCATTCTCTGCGTTCGTCACGGACGAGTCAGCTGTGTTGCTTTATGCTCGTCACGCGTTGAAATAAAGGCCTTTGCTCACTGGGACAGCTGGGCAAAATATTTAAAATTTTGCCAAATGACATTTAATGAAACTGTTTAGAGAACTCAGAATAATGCCAGAAGATGATTCTTGCTTTTGTGTTCGGAATTGTAGAATTTTCAATTTCTTATGCAGTGAGAAATTAAAAATGTCATAGTATATTTGTGTAATTGTACTTTAAAGGAAGGCAATAAGCACCTGATTTTTATTGGCGCCATAGGCACACACCAGAAAAGAGCTGTTGCGTTATTTTTTATTTCACAAAAAGGCCTTATTGGTTCTGGGTGCATCCACTAATTCAGGAGATCGCTGGTCACTGCGGTTGCCCGTCAACCTAACAAAGCCCACCGAGGCTGCCGGTGACTGTGACCCGCGCATACTCCGGTCGAGCTGATGGTTGCAGCAAACAACCACAAAGAGCGGCCGTAAGCAGCGTTGTAAATTTGCTAATGCGATGTGAATTACCTACAATTTCACATTCTACGTTAGTTGCGCCCCAATGGCGCCGTCAAAGGTCGCGGATGGGGGAACCACCAAAATGTTGTAGGCAGAAAAAATGCGATTTAAAATCTAATATCAACATAAATATTGGAGTCGATTCTGGCATGATTCTCTTAACTTAAAACTTTTAACACCAGTCTCTCGTTTTCATTCTGTATTCTCTATACAGAATACACTGTTGTCAAATTTAAGTTTGGGTTTAGAGAACCATGCCAGAATCATCACCATTGCTGAGTCAGTCTGACGGCAAAAATAATAGTACAATATAAGGTCCATGAACTCCTTGCAAAAGAAGCTCTTCGTACCTTAAAAACCTTCGAGACTGATACGGGATGAGCACCTAATACATTTTCGGGCCGTAGTATATTAATAAAAACCAGTCAAGTGCGATTCGGACTCACACACCTCCTAAACTCTGAGGTATATAACTCATTTATCACGGGATCGAGATATTCTGGGCTAGCGGTTCTAGGATCATGAGTTTAAAAATATACGGCATAAAATGAGCTATAATGGCTGTAATAATCTTAAGGTACAGAACGTAAAAAACATTCCAAATGAAAGCCGACCTTCGAGACAAGAGGGCACTGTAAGAAGAAGCAGATGTGATCGGGAGAACATAAGCTTAATAGGCCGTGGCCGTGGGTAGGGAAGACAGTCATTTTTATGTTAAAATGGTAGTTAACAACCATATGACCCTATTAATAGTAAGTGGAGCCTATAGAATAGACGCTTGCTATACAAATAAATATCTCTCGCGCCGTTGCCTACCCTGACCGCCTGACCCAATTCCCTGGAACCCTGGAAACTTATTAGTGTTATTTTTATATGGTCTTCTGTAAATCCGTCATCCCTTAATGTCATCATTATGTCAATAAAATCATTATTATGTGGGGTAACGTATTTGCATTAAAGTGTGAAGGCAAGTAACTAGTAATAATTTATATAAAGAAACTACTACTGGAACTAGCGTGGATGTGACAGCTGTAGAAATGCCACCGACTCATATAGTAGAAGATCCGAACTAAAAAAGATCTTCACCGAGCTGATAATAGAATGAATCATATTTTATAACAAATTTAGTATGTTAGAAAATATGTTGAAAATGGGTTGCCTAAAAAATCCTGGACAGACAATTTTAATTATTTAAAAAAAATGTTTTTTTTTATTTTTGCAACATCAAGATAATAAGAAAATTTTTACCCTGACTTAAAGTATGAAACGTATAGAATGTGCAGCCGTTGGGTTGCCTATTATTTACCTGGACAAACTACTCGGTTGTCAGGTATAAACAGGTATGTCGATGCCAGCTACCTTTACTCGATTAGATAATCGAAAAAATTTTATATCAATATGAGCGTTGTTTTATTGCGAACACAGTGATATAGGGTTGTCTGCAAAAAACTTGGTCCTAATAGGGGTTTGCGAATTTTGAAGATTTTAATTTTAACGCGAGTGGAAATGTGTGACAGAGAGATCCGAATTGAGTATAGCGTGTAATAATAAAGGACACAACATGGCAGTCGCATGTAATGGGACCTCGAATATCAGAAAGTGCGCATGCTCGGTAGTCATATGACAGAGAATGACAGCGATACTCTAGTAAACAGTGAGCGTTATTTTGGAGTCGCAACACGTGTTATTTTGTATCGTTGTGATAAAAAATGGCTAAAAAGTGTTTAAAAAATTTTTTCAAAGTATTGATATTTGTATTATTTACGTCATTTATATTTTGAGTAACAAAAACTTGTATAAATATATAATGATACGCATAAGTCAATAAGTAAATTCATTTATATATATTTATTAATTTATTTAATCGAGGTTTTATTGTTTAATATTTTAGTATTATAATGATGTCGATTCTGGCATGATTCTCTAAAGCTAAACTTAAATTTGACAACAGTGCATCCTTGTCCTTCTCTATACAGAATGAAAAGGTGAGACTGACCTTAAATTTAGTTTTAAGTTTAGAGAATCACGCCAGAATTGACACCAATATATATATTATTATTTACAACTTAAATGTCAGTTGTGCTATGTTGTGTCCTTTATTATTACACGCTATACACAATTCGGATCTCTCTGTCACACATTTCCACTCGCGTTAAAATTAAAACCTTCAAAATTCGCAAACCCCTATTAGGACCAAGTTTTTTGCAGACAACCCTATATCACCGTGTTCGCAATAAAACAACGCTCATATTGATATAAAATTTTTTCGATTATCTAATCGAGTAAAGGTAGCTGGCATCGACATACCTGTTTATACCTGACAACCGAGTAGTTTGTCCAGGTAAATAATAGGCAACCCAACGGCTGCACATTCTATACGTTTCATACTTTAAGTCAGGGTAAAAATTTTCTTATTATCTTGATGGTGCAAAAATAAAAAAAATAAAATTTTTTTTAAATAATTAAAAATTGTCTGTCCAGGATTTTTTTAGGCAACCCATTTTCAACATATTTTCTAACATACTAAATTTGTTATAAAATATGATTCATTCTATTATCAGCTCGGTGAAGATCGTTTTTAGTTCGGATCTTAAGACTAATAGATGTTTGCGCAAATAAAATGAAAAACACAACAAAGATGCGATATGATTCTCTAAATTACCGATCCGCCTACGTATTTACTCTCCTCATCGTATAGGATGTATTTTTATACTGACCTGAAGTGTTGCGTGCTGTTACTGTCTTCTCAAGCGTGTCATGCTGTCTGGCGAGTTGTTCTACGACCTCTTGTAGACGCTTCTTTTGCTCGCGCTCATGTTGAAGCGCGCGGGTCATACGCGTACTTGAAGCAGCCGCTGCACTCATGAATTCTGAACATGCCTAGCAAAAAATAGCAGAAATCAGAAATCAATATATCTTTATTCAAATTGGATGTATAGTACAACACTTTTGAATCGTCCAAACATTTTTTTTCCCTACCACTCGTTATTGGACATATTTTTTAGCTGCGGAGAAAAACGAGCGAAAAAAACTCCACAACATTAAAAGCATAATGTAACAACATTTACAAATCATTATGTTGTTACAACGTCAATACAATCATGATTTATTTAATATAGAAAACCTGTTGGAATGATTGGAACAGTTCAAACCCAAGCATTTTTGTCTGTAATATAATCAGACACTTTGTAATAACCTTTTTTAATAAGTGCTTTTTTTATACTATCTTTGAATTTATTTATGCTTAACTCTTGGATATTGCTTGGGACTTTATTGTATAAGCGAACACAAAGACCTTTAAATGAATTATTGATTTTGTGAAGCCTAGTAGCAGGTAAAGTTAGTTTATTTTTGTTTCTTGTATTAAGTGTGTGAACATCACTGTTTTTAAGAAACAAATTAATATTTTTTCTTACAAGTAATAAATTTTCGTAAATGTATTGTGATGCGACCGTCATTATACCAAATTCTTTAAACCTATCTCTTAAGGAATCCTTAACTTTAAGATTATAAATTGATCGAATAGCTCTCTTCTGCAGCACAAAAATAGTTTGAATGTCGGCGGCGTTTCCCCACAATAAAATTCCGTACGACATTACACTATGGAAATAACTAAAATATACTAATCTGGCCGTATCTACATCCGTTAACTGGCGTATCTTCATTACGGCATATGCTGCAGAACTAAGTCTATTTGACAATTTATCAATATGTGGGCCCCATTGAAGCTTAGAATCTAAAGTAATCCCTAAGAATACTGTGGTGTCTACAAGGCCCATATTCCTATCCTTTACATTCACACTGGTTTTTACCTGTTTTACATTAGGTAATACAAATTTCATACATTTCGTTTTTCCTTCATTTAGTAATAAATTATTAACATTAAACCAGTGGACTACCTTAGAGATACAACTGATCACGTCGTCAATAACTGTTTCCTTACGTTTGAGTTTAAATAAAAGTGATGTATCATCCGCGAACAATATTATCTCATGCTTATCTCTAACGTAGTAAGGTAAGTCATTAATATAAATTAAAAATAAGAAAGGACCAAGGATTGAGCCCTGCGGAACACCCATTTTAACCGGCGAACCCGCAGACTTATTGCCGTTAATGTCAACCCTCTGAATCCTATCCATCAGGTATGACGCAATAAGATCCAGATCAGTATCTCTAAATCCATAGTGGTGGAGTTTCCTGAGTAATGTTTCATGAAAAACGCAATCAAAAGCCTTCTCCCAGGCGTCAAAAATTTGTTGTATAAGTTCAACACCGGCATCGGTTGTTGAACGACCCCGTGTAAAACCAAATTGTTTACAGTGAAGTATATTATATTTATTAAAATGTGATTGCATTTGATGTAACATGATTTTTTCGAAAATTTTACTAAAGGTGGGTAGCACAGACATTGGTCTAAAGTTTGTGGGGTCTGATGTACTTCCCGTTTTATGCAAAGGAGTTATTTTACTGTATTTCATGAGGTCAGGAAAAACACCACAGTCAACACAATCATTAAATATGCAAGCTAGAATAGGAGCTATTGTCTCAATTATCGATTTAGAAACATCAACGGAATTGCCCCACAGATCCGTGGTTTTCTTTTTATTTAATTGGTGAAACGTTTTAATTACATCTTTGAAGTCAACATGTTTAAAATGAAAATGACTAGTACAAGGTTTCACGTTTTCTCTTAAGATTGATTCGGCAGCAATGGGGGAAGAGTTCAAAGATTTAGTAGTTGAAACTGGAATATCAGTAAAGAAATTTTCGAAAGCTGTAGCAACTTCAATATCTGAAGTAACCCTTTTATTATCAATATTTAAGTTATAATTATTATTGCGAGTTTTAGATTTTCCAGTTTCATCGTTTATAATATTCCATGTCGTTTTAATTTTGTCATTACTGTTCTTAATCTTTGAACTTAAGTAATTTGATTTTGCTAAGCGGCATACTTTTTTAAACAATTTAGAATAGTTACGAACATGCTCTTTAAAATAGTAAGACTTAAGTAACGTAATAATAATAAACATTAGAAATAAGTACTAGGTGTTTTCTCAATTATAATTAAAATGGCAATAAAATTACTTACAATCATCATAGCATTGCACGATATCCTGAAGAGTGTTGCCCTCTCTGACACCTGTTTTGTGGTGTCAGACGGAGGAGTCTCCAAATCAACTAATGATCTTTGTAGAGCGTTTCCATGCCTTGTGACTAACTCAGAACATGTTCTTATATCATGGAACCGTGCTGCCAACTCGCGGGCGATGCCACCAGCATCTTCACTCTCGCCTTCCCCGCCACCTACTGCAGCAGCCCCTGACGACATCTGATCCTCATCGTCGTCCGATTCTTGTGCTCGACTGCAAATTGATAACATCATACCAATTTTATTTATTATTTTAGCCAGTTGTTTTAAGCTTTTGATGTGCATTTTCTACAGCTTAGTATATTTTAATTGCTATATTAACAACCTCAGATCAGAAATATAAAAATAATGGTTACAATAATGTTGAAACAGATCCTTTTGAATTGTAAACCTAACTTTTATACTTAATCTAGAGTAAGTTTTTTTTATTATATTAAGAAACTAACAGCCGCCCTCGACTTAGTCTTCATCCGCGTTAAAATCTATCCATTTTTCGTATTAATATAATAATTACGACACTCAAAAATATCGTAATTTTCTATTGTTTTTTTTTTAAATCGGTTTAGTAATTCCAGATATTACTTCGTACAACCTCACAAACATTACCTCTTTATAATTTCACTCGGCGTAAAAAAATCGCATCTCCGCGAAAAGAACTTTCAAGCGATATTAATCTTTAACACGCGCATGTAACCCCATCAATATTGGTGTCATTTCAAAGCCCATTAAAAAAATAAACCCATTTCGTTTCATTGAAAAAAAAGCCTGATACCCACAAATGTGACTTTTAAAAAATGGCAATTTTGCTCCTCAAAACGGCCGCTAGTTGCGCTACTTTTAGTGGGTATAAAAGGGTTAATACAGGTTCAAGCGCATAACCCCCATGCTCTATCTAATCGTTGAAGAGGACACACGAGAAGATCTTTCACAAAAAAAAACACCTTGAAGATGGATATCACTGCTGACGAAGCTACTGAAGTGATTGCACTACTGCAAACCATGGATGCGGCATGGAGGCGGTAAGATGTCGCTCGGCAACTAAACACTTGAGCCGTTTCTCATACCGGTGGTCATGTCCGGAGGTATGGTAGACGTCGCTGCTCCTCGGAGACATCTCTAAGAAATCGGTTCTCTAATGCTGTTAAGTTGCTACAGCAGCTCCAGACAGCTCGCAGAACAACCGCGCGCGATTCTACGGTAAGACGAAGACTGAGGGAGAAGCAGATAGCGGCTTTTAGAGCTACTACGGGTCCAAAGTTGACCGCAGAGCATCCACGAGCCCACTTGCAGTTTGCTCGCGACCACGTCAATTGGACCCTTGACCAATAGAGAGCTGTTCGCTTATCAGACCAGACGAGAGTGTGCCTTTTCTGCAACGACAGACGCAGAAGAGTGTACAGAAGACAGGGGGAACGTTGAGCCCAAGCCTGCATCCAGGAGGCGGTGACATACGTGAGCGGTTCCTGTTTGTTTTGGGGCGGCCGACGCCAAAACCGGCCTTGTAAGCGTCTCCCGGACTGGACTGGTCGCTGCCTGCACACGCGGTACGGCACAGAGATCCTGGAAGAGCATGTGGTCCCCTATGCCGGTTTTGTTGGCGAGGGGTTCACATTAATTAGGGGGTTACACTAGGTTTTAGGTTAGCTTTAAGAACCTTTTTGTATTTTTTTTGTAATTGATTTGTAAATTATATTGTTTTTTGAACTGTTCTAATAAAAAAAAATGGGTGCGTGTACTTATGTAGGCGCGTGAGAAGTTATCCTTCTTTGGCATCGTTTAAAATTAGTTTTTAATTGCATGCAAATAATTAATTACAATAAATTAATAAAAAGTCTCGAAAAGGACACAGTCAATAAAGTTCAGTTTTAATTTGAAAAAATAAATAAATAATCAAAATATTCAATTAAAATCGCTACTGAATATAATTTATTAGAACATATGTGATTTGCACTTGTATGAAACTCAAACACGTATTCCGAATATACAAACTAGAAACATGTGGATAAATATTATAAATATGAATACCTATAACTGTTACTTTATTACAAAAAATAAAGATGTGGTTTTTGGTTCTACTACACCAATGGTCAAGAGATGGCGCTGTAGTCTCCTGAATCGCGCTTTGGTTCCGTTGTTCCAGATTAATAAATACTTTTGATAGGCCTTCACAATGCAGTCGTTAGCACCCACAAAATAGAGATTCTATTTTGTTGGTAGATTTTCTTAATGTGCGGTTAACACAAAAGTAACAGCATGAAGTTGGTCGCTAAAGCAACTTCATGCTGTTAATTTTTTGTGTTACAGTGATGCGCGCGCATCTTGAAATTTCACTCTCATCATTTTTTCATAACGCGCCTAAAGAAGTATAACTTCAATAATTAAATTGTTCTTTTATGTTTATATAATGGGCTTTCAAATGACACCAATATTGGTGGCAGTAAATGCGTGTCTTAAAGATTATAATAACGCTTGAATGTTATTTTTGCGAATATGCGACTTTTTGGCGCCGAGTGTATTTGTAAAAATAATAGGTCAATCGACATAATTGTGTAACTTAGATTTCATCAATTGCGAGTGTAGTATGAAAATATGCCATGTTTTTTAATGTCGAATTTAACTGGCTTTTTGTAAGGTTCTTACGTGTCACACCTCAAACCTCAAACAATATTAATGCATTTTACCATTTAGATTTAACTTTTTTGCAACGAAAATAAGTTTGTCTAGGGAACCAATCATTCTACACAGACAAAATTGCAGCCAACTACTAGTGCATTAGGAATTGTTTGGCAACACATCCTTACAAGGATTAGTAACCAACTACAACTTACATTGCTTTCGCCTTTGCCAGCTCAAGTGCCGTGACCCAACTTTGTCTCTCCACTTCGTCGTGGGCTCGGATGTGAAATGTCTGCGTGCCACCATTGCTGATTACAAATGTGCATGAGTCTGCTGTGTGTATCAGTGCTCCCAGTAGCGAAATAGTACCACGGCATGTATGAGCCATTTCGGCTTGATTTCTGAAAAAAAAGGCAAGTATTAAGTGAATACCAAATCTATAAATCAGTAAAAAATTAAGAAACTTTGCAATGATAATTATTAATTACAATTTTAGACTAAATTATTATAATCAAATATATGTTTATGTTAATTCGCCTTGACAAGGGCTATGGTCATATATAATAGCCAGAATCTGATGATGGTATCAGGAAGTGTATGAAACCGATTGCGTCAGATCGCGTCACAACCATGGAGCAAATACAAAGAGGAGGTACTGCATACAGTTTCTTCTAAGAAATCAAGTGAAGAAACTGATAGGGGAATCGGGGAGAGATGCGAAATACTAACTGCGCCAACAGGGCGAGTAGTGAAACTAAAATCAAGCTACTTGTAAGCACGACGACACACACGAGTCGGGGCCGTATCGTATCTGTGTTATCACTTTTAATCGTTATTTTAAAATATGACAGTATTTTTTTCTCTTTACGTATTTTAGATAATTTAGGGTATGACGAGTAGTTTCTATTTTTTAATAAATTCTTAAGTTCACAAATATATTCTTTTTTCATAGATAGATAGGTCCGACAAATGACTCCACCCCACCTGATGTTAAGTGAAGGTGAAGTCCAGACGCGAAGATAGCTGATACAGCAGTTCTACCTGCCACACCAGCCATCCTCACCCTGCCGGCCTGCATGTTGCTTCTTCACGCCTCTTTTAAAGGATCCCAGGTTGTAAGCGGGAGGGAACACGTGAGCGGGCAGAGCATTCCATTTACGGATAGTGCGACAAAGAAATGAGTCACAAAATTTCTTTGTACGCGTTGGAATTGTGGCCACAGTTAGACGGTGATAACGTAGGCCAGCGCGCGTGGTCCTCTGAAGGAAAGGGAAAGGTGGAATAAGAGAGAATAACTCCTAAGAACACTCGCCGTGGTACAGACGATAGAACGCGCTTAGTGACTCCACGTCACGGCGTAATTGAAGAGGCTCGAGATGTTTAGTCACCTCCTCATCGGTTATGATGCGGATCGCGCGCCGCTGTAACCTATCCAAAGCATCGTGCAAGTACTTGGCGGAGCCAGCGTTTTGTACAACAAGCTCAGTTGATCGGGCGTGAAAAAACGCCGAACCTTGTTCAGGATTCCGAGTTTGCATGAAGCTGTTTTGATCACGGTTTCGATGTAGTCCTTTGATTATTGCTTTATTTACGAAGAAATGATAATTTAATTTTCTTTTGCTGGGACCATAATTAGTATTCTTTTTCTTAATGAAGACGGCGGGAAAGCGGAAAACTGACTTAAAAAGACTTGTTGATTCTTAATACTTAAAAATAGAATGATCTACTGACTAAGACCTCATAAATACTTGATAATACCAAGTACGCTACGAGCACTCGCCTAGATAGAACGCGTACCACTATGCTCGTTCAAATCATAAATTCTCAACCTTTTATCGATTTTAACAGTCATATTGAATAATGAAGTGCGCTGTTTGGGACGAGTCATTTAATGATGGAGTTCAGTGTGGAGTGTGCAAAAAACATCTGGATTTTGGTTGTGCCAATATTTCCGAAGCTAGATATAGAAAGTTCGGCTCTGACCGCCGGGCGGCGTGAAAAAGCCCTCAGTACAAGCAGTCGAGGCTGTCACCTGTTCCCAGTGGCGATCCATCTGTTCTAGACAACATACTCACCGAACTGGGGGATTTGAAACAGCAGCTGGCTAGTCTCCCTACCCTTATTGAAGATGTGAAATGTATTAAACAGGAAAAGTCATGGCCAAATACAGAAAAACCGCTGGAAAGAGAGGAGGAGGCTGAAGACCACCATGAGATTATTCTGATAGAAGAAGCTGTCATGCAGTTAGTAGATTACAGCCTGTTCTCCAGTTGGTGCTGGCTGAAGCTCTCGTGTTGCCTATGTTCTTCTCTTTTTATGTCGTGTAATGCCGTCAGTTGGATGCTCATTACGAAAGCATCAGCAGAGTCAGCTGCCACGTGATGATACAGAGGAGGAGAATGTGCTGACCTCTTTTCATGTTTGTAGCATAGATTTTGAGTTTCCGTTGATTTCCTTATTCTGACATGAAAATTTGGGACTGATTAAGAAATTATTATCAAGACGAATTCAGTTTATTTACAAATTATTTTTATAAACTGGTTAAATAAAAACATGTGTTGAAATAATTCATTGCTTAATTTTGTCAATCATGTTGTTTAAAAAGCATAGACATAAAAACTCTTTTTCAGATTAAATTACTACAGCCATCTTCTAATTTTATGAAGTGAAATTGATGTGTTCCTCATATCAAAAATTATAAGAAATAAACATTTGCATAGTACAATTTGAAATGAGTCAACTAGCTTATTTGTAAACAAATCTGTTGCCAAGAATGTAGTGTGCAGTGTTTGTTTATGTTGACATAGGCTGCAATTTGAGCAGTTATTACAAGTAAAGGTTGAAATAATTTATAAAGAAGACTCTAAATATAAATATTAAATTAGATGAAGAGCACCATGGAGCATTTGTTAGTGCATTCAGTCTTTGATTGTGGAAGTTAAGTGAGTTTCATTATAATTATTCATAGAATTGGAACAAATTATGGGCCCCAATCATAAAAAAAATATTAAGTGTTTAAGGAAGTTATTTATTGTAGGTATGTTTGAATTAAAAGGCTACAATTACAAATAGAGACAATTTTTTTTAAGCATTAACATGAAAATATTAATCCTTAATGGCATTTCTGAATATTATCCTCCTTGCAAAGGAAATCCTTTCCTTTCTTATTTCATTTCAAACTTTCACATTATAAAAAATTGTCCCACTAGGAAATTATATTAATATCCAAGAGACTGTAATCAAATAATTATGTGAAATTTAAATTTTTATCCAGGTTTTTACAAATTTATTTCTTTTGTGACAATTTTTTTCAGAAAACTGATCAAGTGCGTGTCGCGGCACTCGCATTATAGGGTTCTGTAGTTGCTTGTCGTCACTGCAATATATTTTGGAAAGTCTTTATTTTAAGCAAAAACTCTCTAAGTCACTTTTAATATTTTCTTCTAAGGAATTTTTATTCCGTCAGAAATTTTCTAATATATCATTTGAATGACGATTAATTACTCTTAAACTAACAAATCTATTTTAACCATTATAATTTTCATTAAAATTGAATGAATAGCACTATTATTATGAATTTTAACCAATAGTTTTGGTTATACAGGGGGGGGGAGACGCCCTACATGAACAAAAATTAGCACTTTAAAGTTAAATATTACGCAATCAGATTACTAAATCGAAAAATAGTCTTAGGAAACTCTAAGTTATTTTAATGGTCCCATTTAATGATATCCCACATGATAGGGTAGATAATGAAAAAATGAAATCATCTCCAGGTTACATGTTGCTGTACAACAAGTTACTGATATACAAAACTATCCTTAGACCACAGTTGCATACAACTCTGGGTTACTGCTAGTAATTCCAACATCCTTTGCATTCAAAGAGCCCAAAATATAATCCTTCAAACTATTAACAATGCACCATGGTATATCACTAATAATGAAATTCACAAACACCTGAAAATGTCAACAGTCAAGGAAGAAATAGCCATTGCAACTCAGAGATACAGTTGGCGAGTCACCCAAACATACTAGCAACACATCTTATGACTCGGAGTTATAATAACCTACTCAAAAGGAGAGGTCATTTAAAGAAATTAAGGAGATGTTCTTTCTGAAGGACACACTCTTACACTTGCTTATAGTGGCACACACTGATGGCAAATTACAAATAATAATAAAAAAAAGGTTACATGTAGGGGAGCTACCCTAAAAAATAGATAATTCAATAGAGGTATTTTATAAGATTTCCATTCCACTTCCTAGTAATAATGCGGTAGATTTATGGTCTAGAATGCAGAGGCATTATATTGTATCTGTATTAATAATGGCATCATTATTTTAGTGTTCATGAAAGTTTTGGCTGGCTTAAAAATATAAAAGCCACAGAAGAACACAGCCACATTAGTGACAAAACTTTACTGTCCAAGCAAAATACGACGACAAACACAGCGTCATTGCAACAAAAATAATAATGCATCAGAAGTTATTTGGACAATGTATTTACTAGTTAGCCTCATTCGCATGTTAATTTGAAAACTATCAATAGCAACATTTACCTGTAATAAGATAGTAATCCATTCGATAACACGAACCATCTTCGCTGATAACCCTTGAGATAATTAGTCCATTTAAAGAGCCACCCTTTTTTTTCTGGGTCACCAGGAATAGGTTGTCCTTTAGCCACAACTACGTCGGACATTCTGTTTGATTATATCACTATTTATGTAAGAATACACAGGAAAAACATAATAAGCACAGTTTCCTATTAGCCACGTCCGTTTTCCAACATAATAAGACGTACTTCTCATGTCATTTTTTCAAAAGATATCTTTCATTTCATATCATTACCTACTATCACTCAACAATCACTCTTTCATGCTGGCACTTCATATAGCTATTTGATTTTTAATTTGTCGTTTTGATAGCAATTTATCCTTATCATACTCTATTGAGAATGAAAAGGAGAGACTGTTGTATAGATTACAAATATCAAATTCGAATAGTCATGTGAAGTGCCGGCATTATGTAGGGATGGTCGATTATGAATCGATATAAAAGGATCTGTGTAAGCCTCTCACCCGGCTTGGCTGGCCGCGCTGAGGGCTGCGTTATAAGCCTCCTGGCGAGAGCGGGCACAAAGGGGCAAGGAAAATATGGCTCGTCGCCTACGACGGCCGCTGACGGCACCCAACCCCGCGGGGGCGCACCCCCGTGAGAAGCAGCCCGGGGAATGAAGAGTTCTTCGAACCCGAACCCACTTCAAGAGGAAGAATCCCGCAGAATAGAACCTACTTATCATTAAATTCTCCTCTCAAGTCAACACCTTTTAGTACAAATGTGTAATTTAAGTGAAAATGTATGTACCTAATTATAGTTTACTCCGCCTAGAAAAGTATTTAAAAGTCTCGAGTAATTTCCTTTAACATTCGCCAAAAGCTACAAAAAATATGTACTTAAAATAAAGAATAAGGATAAAAATGAAATGAGGCTTTAAAGTCTTCCTCTCAAGCCACATAAATTGGGAAAAAAATACTGTCAAATTGACAATGTACGTCAAATAAATGTCAAACTATGTCAAACAAAAAATGGTCAGTTGGTTAAAAATCGCCGCTGTTTGTTCTCGTTCTCCAGTTATCCAGCATTATTTTCAAGGTGATTCCTTTCACTATTTGGGACTGTTTTTGTGCTAATTTAAAAAATAATGATATCTTGTACGACCACCTTGTACATATTCTTTATTTTAAGATCTTGTGACCAACATTAACAATTTGTTGATTGGTAAATAATTACAATTAAATACCATAATTGTTTTGCTACTTGTTCTAGAGTCCTCATCAATAATGGGTAGTTCATTCTCAAGATCTTATTCTCCTAATAGTTGTGGCAATAGGGGAGTTGCTGAATCAGGTGAGTTATATTTTTAAATATGTTTTTGAATTGATGAAGTTCTATTTCTCTTTTTAATTACAATAAATTCAAAATATTTGTTAAATTTAAATATCAATTAATAAACTAACAATTACGTTTAGATGTTGAAACATATCACAAGCTTAATAAATGTTTTCAAGCTTAATAATTACTTTCAACAAGAACTTGTTTGGAACCACCGTTGTGTAGCCTAGCATTTATTGTAATATCAAGGGCGCAACAAAAACATTTTAGCTTTAATAGGTCTTTCACTATTAATATTCAATTCAAACTCGGATACACATTATCACAAGCAAAGGAACAATCAAACTTTTGTAAAAGTATATTTTGTTAATTAAAATTATCAAGAATAAAAGGGATTTTGGTACTTAATTCCATTATATGTAATTGAATTTCGCGGTAATTTGTAGGGGAGGGGGAGGGGGGGCTCCCCCCGACCCCCCCGCCATAAAAGATTTTTGGCGGAAATGCAGTTTTTTTTTTACCTAACCTAAAAATTCATTAAATCTGTTTTAAGTAGTGAAATTTCAGGGGGATAGGTATTAGGGAAGACCCCTCAGAGGGAAGGGTCGTTTTTTTTACAGAAATGATAATTATAAAAAATTAGACGGGTTTTAAAGGTAAAACTGTACTTCCAGGGCCTAGAGGTGATATTTGATTTTTTTGTAGAAAAAGTCTCTATTAACGAATTTTTCTTTCTGGCGCTTCGCCGGCCGCTGCCGCGGCACGCTCGCTTCGCTCGCTCGGCTCGCGCGTTAAGGTCACAACACTAACCTAACCTAACCTAGTGTGAAGTATCACCACACAAGTGGCTCATTAGAGTCCAAAACTCGCACTACACTCGACTCTTCAGGCGATGGGACAGCAGAACTCGAGGCCGAAGGCTTTGAGGATGCCATGGTAGTCAGACGATGTTAATATCAACAGGAGTACGAAAAAGCTCTCAACTGCGACGAACACAAACACTGACTGACAGATCTCATTAATGGCGGTAAATTATCACATTTTGACAATAGTACCTACATAATAAACTTATATTTACCATAGACAACGAGAATCATGTTATTTTTGCATAAAAAAATGGCAGCACTGATCAAAATTGCTGTCAAAATTGACTCATAACCTACAAAAATATTAATTTTCAATAATTTTTTTCTCGAGTTCTATTCGTTTCCGCCTAAAAAGATTTCGTGTACGTGTTTTTAATAGTTAATACTTTGCGTGACAAAAATTTCAGCTTGCAACTCAATTACATATAATGGAAAGCTGAGCCGGGATTTTAATTGTATTATGTCCATATTTTGAAAATTATTTTTAAATAGTTACAATTAAGATTAGGAATGAAAAGTTCATTTGATAATGATGTAGATTCTGGCATGATTCTCTAAACCTAATATTAGACAACAGTTTATCTTCGTCTTTTTAAAGAATAACTGATGCTGTATTTATACAGAATAAAAAGGAAAAACTTATGTTAAATTTAGCCTTATGTTTAGAGAATCATGCCAGAATCGTTACCACTAAATAATTTCTGTAATCATTGATTCATGCAAGCATAGTGAGTACCTTTGCACTGGAAATTACATAGCTTATTGTCAATTTTTTTTCCTTAAGTATTTTTTTAGCTTGAGGGAATTTAATAGAAAATTTAACAACTACTTTTAATGCCTCTTACTAATAAAACTATCAAAGAACTGTTCTTGGATAAAACAATAACAATAGTAAATGGTCCTTGTTAGATTTCTCTTATTAGATGTTATTTTACATATAACTTAAAAAAAACTTGATAAAATAGATTACATTTAAGCATTGATATTGTAATCTTCAGGGTAAAGCTACAGTGGATTCTTTATTTCTCTTCCACATAGGATTATTGGCAATGAGGCAGTTAATGCCCTTGTAAAGTCAGCTGTGTGTGATGGCTAGTTGTAATACAACTGCACTTTTTATAGAGATACCCTGTGGTGTACAGTACTATTCAGAATATCTTTATATTGTTGGTGGCCTTTGTTTAAATGTGCTAGTCTCTTGAAATAAGTTTCATTTGGTAGTGGCTATCAGGCATCAAGCCTGGCATATACCAACAAATATATTCTACTTTGTGGTGGGTACTACACAAAAAGTTTTAATAAATTATTTTTTGACTGGTGTAACTCAAGACCAACAATATTAAATACCCTAGACATATCCACAAGCGCTCAAAATGTGTCCCAATCAAGAAGTGCTTGAATTCTACTCCAGCACTTCTTGGTTCACTGTCATTTGCGAACCTTTGAAAAGACAAGATGCTGCAGAGCTCTATGAAAAAATGCAAAAAAAATACTATTAGTATGTAAACTGTCGTTTTTTATAGCTATATTGCTAACAGCGCATTCAGAATTGCGCGTAGAGTCAAAGAAATAAGGTCTATATTCTTCCGCATATAGCAATGTCTTAAAAGTAAATGAGCTTGCATTTAGAACAGTCATAACTCTTTGACGCATGCGTTTTAATTAAAACCTTCTACAGTATGCATTAAAGGTGACTTTCAATGTTTAAATAATGCCATATATTGTTTTGGACAACACAATCATCTTACAGAGCTCTGTGGATATACATTTTGCACAAGTTTCGATGATTTTGTTTGTGTTATGTATCTAGGGTATTTAATATTGTTGCTACAACTAGACACTACAACAACACTGTGAGCACGCGAGCTATCGAATATAAAAGGCTAAATTTGTTCGGTGGAATAAAACAATAAGAAACGATAATAATACGAAATGCAGTGCTTTCGTATTTTAGAGAATTGTTTTTTTCGAGACACAAGCCCACGCCTACGAGTTTTTGACGGATAGAATCCGTGTAAACAATTTTTAAGATGTGTATAATCCTCAGCGGCGTATTTTTAAAGGCGCCCTCGGCCTACAATAGTTTTTTCTAAGGAGTAAAAGATTACTCCGCCAAAATTGGGCTCCAGCAGCGGCCACGTATCTCTTTCGCTGAACAAAACGCGGAGGGGATAGTTGCGTATGGGTACCACTGGAGAGCCAATCGGCGCAACGCATGCCCACCCGCGCACCTCGTTTCCCCCAAGACATCTTAATTTTTACTTCTGCGCAATAACGGTCAGCGTTAAACGCGCTACTGACATGCCTGCGCAGGGACAATCTAGGGTGCATGGCGGTCGGCCCAATATCGGCTTGTCTCTACACACATGCCTGCTATTCAGTGTTTGGGCGTATGTTGAGCTAAACACACGCGTTGATGATGGTCCCAGTGTTATCAAAAAATATGTTACCGTAAAAAAGGAAATACTGGGTGAAGAATTGGCAACAGAAAGAAATGTATTGTAAATAAGTAATGTTTATGATTAGAAAAAAATCCACGCGGATCTGGCAGCAGACGGGACTCGAACCCACACCCTTCGCTATCCGGGCGAATGCACTGATCAATTATGCTACCGCGATCCTGTCAGCCGTATCGAATTCTTTCTAGCCTTTCTTAAGCTGCAAGGCAGCGCTACCTCTTCGCATTATATGTAACCCATAATGTCAAATGAATAAATACCTTTACAAGTATTAAACATTTAAAAGAAGAAATAGCAATTAAAGTCATAATTTTAATTTTTTAACCATGTAACTGCTCAATGTTTGAATCTAAAGAATATATTACAAGAAAAAAATAATAAAAAATCTATTTCTATTTTTCTAGTATTATTTTCTTTAGATTTAAATATTGAGCAGTCACATACTTAAAAAATGAAAATTAATTAAAAAATATATAGGTAAATAAAGTTTGTTTTTTTTATCCCACACGTGGGGCCGGTATTTATATACAGTATAACGCCGATTATCCGAAAGCCGATTAACCGAATCGCCAATTATCCGAATCAGTCCTAAGCGTAGTATAAAAAAATAAAACCAAGTTATTTTTGTTTTGTTTTAACAAGTTGGAACTCGCTGGAGTCCAGATATATTTCATCTGTTCTGGTTGAAAGCTAGAGACAAGAAGACACTACATGTTTTGCATGGCGCGGTATTTTTTTGCTACTATGTACCTTTATTATTGTATTTAGTATTATAGAACTGTGTTTGTTAAACTTATAAGGTTTATTCTATGTGTGACAGTTCGTTTTTCTTTATTACCAGTCCAATTATACGAATTTTCGATTATCCGAATCGACCCCGGTTCCAATTAATTCGGATAATGGGCGTTCTACTGTACTTGGATCACTCGTGTCCAAACTTCATGTTCATTATGATCTGCCGCCATTTTGATCGAAATACTTGCGCTGCAAGTGACAGCTACTAACCGACTGATCGAGAAATTGGCCCAAACGCACTACACACGCGGCAACGTGCAGGGCGGTTGGGACAATCTAGTGAGCAAGGGTATTCGCGCGCTCCTGCCGCCCTGCCGCAGGCCCGATTTAGATTATTGTTCCAATTTGGCTACACACATCACAATTCATGAGGCAATTTAGGGTCATCCCCACTCTTACACCCTAGATTGTCCCTGCGGCAGGCAAGTCAGTAGGCGCATTTAGAGTTTTGTGCCGCGACTTATACCTACCTGTCCCCGTAGCATGAGCACCTCAATTTAAGTTATATCACGTTTTTTATCGCATCAATCTGTCAAACTACATGGTAATGTGACACTTGAGCGTGATAAAAACGAGTAATATATCATATCGCTGTGCTTATGCATAGGGGGCTGCCATCCTTGTTTTTATCACGCTCAATTGTCAAATTACTATGGATTTTGACAGTTAGAGGCGATAAAAAACGCGATTTAATGTAAATTGCGCTCGTGTGCAACAGGGACTGAGGAAAAATAAATAGCTGTCTGAACACGAAGCACAATCACACCAGTTTTCCTATTCTTATTTATATCTTATATCTTTTTTAAATCGAGCAGTCGAGTTTTTTGTCACACTAATAAATTAAAACACGAAATTACATACTTTGAAATCCGATAATATGTCAACAGGTGGGACTGGCACAATATCTCGCATGGACTCGACTACACACTATGTTGAATCAGTAGTATGCAATGAAAATGACCTGAAGGATAACGAAATGAAGGTCTTCGAAGTTGGCGAGTCCGGAAGGGTTCTTCTTATCAAACAGAAAGGCGAATTTAGTGCTGTTGGGACAAAATGTACGCACTACGGAGCGCCATTGGTGTCCGGTGCATTAGGTGATGGTCGAGTGAGATGCCCTTGGCACGGAGCATGCTTTAACATCAAAACTGGGGATATTGAAGATTTCCCTGGCTTTGACTCATTGCCATGTTACCAAGTCACGGTTGGTGAAAAGGGCGAAGTTAAGGTAAGCTGTTTTTTTAGTGTAAACCTGTAAACAACTGCACGGCAACTAGAGCATGGATGTGCAGTATAAATTCTATTGCACGTAAAGATTAGACCCAAAACTGGGCCATTCCATTGCTCTATGGATAAATCGAAATAAATTACCTGCAATAACATTTGCGAAGTAAATTTTCTTTCATCAACATTCAAAAGATAAACTAATAAAAACTTTATCAGGTTTTCGATTACCCAATCGCTAAACCGCTAATAATCGTACAATTCTTTACTTTGTATTCCTCTCGCACCCATTGATTTGCAACCAGTGTATTTGGTTTAAAATCCGCTTTCTAACTTTAACAAAAATGCTAAGACGTAAGTTTGATGTAGTTAAGACACTTGTTGCCATATTCATGTCTCTCGTTAGTACAGTAACAATGATCCAGACAAAATATGGAAATACCTCAAGTCACTTGGAATTGGTAAACCTCGCCAAGACGTGAGGACAGTTATGTTTTATTTTTTGAGGCGCAACAAATTGCTCGGCCTCACCTGATGTTAAGTGTAAGTGGAGTCCAGTCGCGGAGATACATGATGCGGCAGAAAGCCAGCCAGAAATCCGCTCCAGCTATCCTCACCTTGTCTGGACCCAATCACCTACCCCGCGGAGCCCTGGAACCCTACTCACCAGCAGAAACCCAACAACTCCACCAAAAGTTAGAGTTATTTTACTGTACTGTCTTCTGTAAGATTCGATCTTACTTGGTTGCTTCCCCAGACGGGCGCTCCAATTCGAGCGGTGTGGAGTCCGTTGGTTTGGTACTAATAGATCGTAATGATATAAAAAAATCTTTTTTACTCATTCATCGAGTTAAAACGGTATGTTTCGACCACATCCAGTGCCCACCCACTGCATATGAAATGTAATAATATCCTTAGTTTTAGCACCGCAATATTCGTCATTTGCTGGTGTTTCTATGGGTGAGCAATGTTCCAGGGCTTCGCGGGGTAGGATATAGGGTCAGGGTAGACATTAGCATGATATTCTGTACCGTATCGTAAGCGTCTATAAGTTATATGGGCAGCCGCTTACCATGAGAGCCACTTCAATTTCCTATCACATGTGTATCATTTTGTGTGTAGGGCATATGCATGTAATTCTAATAAGGTTCCGTACCTCAAAAGGAAAAAATGGAACCCTTATAGGATCACTTTGTTGTCCGTCCGTCCGTCTGAAATGAAATGAAATGAGAAGAATCAAACTTCTGAGCCAAACTAATCAAAAGATACAGCCGTATGAACCGCAAATTTTCGAAACTCGCACGGGAATCAAAACCTACAGGGTACTTCCCGTGAACTTAGAATCTTGAAATTTGGTACGAAGTAACGTCTTCTAGTACAGATAAAGGAAAAATTGCGAAAACCGTAAATTTTTAGTTACATCATATAATAAAATAATATTTATGAAAATTCAGGTTTGTACGGAACCCTCGGCCTCGATGCGCGAGTCCGACTCGCACTTGGCCGGTTTTATTTTATATAGCTCTGTTACTTTTGAATTTCTCTCCATCAGTATTTTTTAATGGAAATGTATTTTTGAGCAAGAAATTAATTATTGAAAAGTGCGAAAAACCTGTGGGATATTAAAATATTTATAACGCTATAAAGCGGTTGTGATGTAGAAGTTCTTAACAACAAATCAGCAATCAAACGCCATGTTCACAATTTAATTTAATTATAATATTTTGATGATCGAACGTGATAAAAACGAGCTATATATCAAATCGCGGTGCTCATGCTAGGGGGGGCAGGGGCGATTTCTGTTTCTTCTATTCCTATTATAATATTAGTTTCGTCGTTATTCGTTGTTTCATGCTGTTGCCAACTCGAGAGGTTCCGAATTTCGGTTCGAATCCCGGTGGGGGCAGCACCCGAACTCTAAACAACTATGATAGTTTTCGTGAGCTCTATCTCGTACTAAGGATACAGTTGTTTGTGTGATGAATACGAGCATTTGTACTCTAGTCATGGATAAAAATCTACTATATAAAAATAAGTCGGGTTTTCCTTCCTGACGCTATAACTCCAGAACGCACGAACCGATTTCCACGGTTTTGCATTCGTTGGAAAGGTCTCGGGCTCCGTGAGGTTTATAGCAAAGAAAATTCAGGAAAATTTAAAAAAAAAATCTTTTTCTTTTAATCACAAAACGAAATGTTACATAAAACGAAGCTATCTGGTGGCGAAACGGAGTTCGCTGGGTTTGCTAGTATACTTATATATGTGTCAGTATATGTATCTATTCTATCCGTTACCCTAGTATCCCTTAACACAAGCCATCAGTGCTTACTTTGGGGCTAGGCTTATTGGTGTAAGTGTTGAAAATATGTATTTATCGATGGTAAAAAGTAGTAATTTAACAGTTAAAAATCAATTTATTTTCTTTCTCCTTTCTTGAAATCATGGTTACTATAGTGTTCGTTGTGTTACCTTACCAATTCAACATCTTCTGAAAACTGGAATCACGTGAACGATATGATCATATCCAACAACTGCATGGATTAATTCGCTCAATTACTGTAATGGTGGAGTGAACCAAGCATAATGCTAGTCAGTGGATACGTGGGCAACAAATAAATATGTATTTTGGACAGGGTACTAGTGTTTTTAACATGCTTTTATTAGGTCGACTTGTATGTAATTATGTAATGAAATCTAAGAATCTGAATTACACGCACTTCTAATTCTTGTTTCATCATGAAACTTGGCAATTATATGTAGATTAGATGACAATACAATGTTATGGTACCATCGAGCAGGGGGCCAATCGCCTAACGGAAATGCTTTGGGAAACGCTAACGCTTACGATTTTATATTGTTATTTCTAGCCGCCTGAGGTTTTCGAATACCACACGATCATTTTTTTTTATATTGTTATTACCAATGCAAGAGAAAAAGAAAGAGCGCGAGGCATTTGAATACCTCAGGCGGCTAGAAATAACAAAATAAAATCGTAAGCGTTAGCGTTTTCCAAAGCATTTCAGTTAGGCGATTGGCCCCCTGGTCTGATGATGGGAATGGAAGATGACTGATGGAACCTTGTACTGTCTACTAGTAAACATATTGAATTGGGGCTGATTAGATTCGCTTTAACATATTCTATTCATTTCTCATTTATAAAAGCGTGTTTTTCTAGTTTTTTTTTAAACTATGAACTTTTATGTTTCGAAATTACTCAGAATTTAGTTACTCTCGCTTGTTAAAGGATTTTTAATTAATAAATGATTTCTCAGCTTCCCATTTCAGTAACTCAGTGACATATAAAATGCTTTCTGAGGCAGACGCAACGGCAACTGTGTACACATAAGCTGCATAGTATTTAACAATATGTTTAATAACTATGCATGTTCCTAGAATTAATATTTCCAATTTTACGTCAAGTCACGGTAAAAATATGTACCATATCCATCCAGTGGTGTAGCGGCGAATCACAATACTCTGTTCACCAAGATGGGGTGCGCGCAAGCGTTTATAAGTTACGTGCGACCATGGAATGAATAATGAGTACTCAGACCATTTTGCAGTGCTCACGTCTTGTGAAACATGGTTTATATTAAAACTCGGTACAATTAAAAAGTATTCTATTTAGATAACTACGTAAAAACCCGCTGTGGGTATTCAGTTATTAATGAATGCTAAGGGGTAGGTACGCCCCCGCTTGTTACTAACTCCAAAATTAAGCGATTGCCATCGATAATTGTTCCAACGAGGCTTGCTCGTAACACCTTGGATCCTAGTGGCGCAGTAAGGTTTGATAATACATGTAAAAAGCGGCCGGCCTTGAGTCACCTTGACCAAACTTAAGCGTGCAACTCCGCGATGACTCAGTTTCGTTTTATGCTTATGCTTTAACTATTCACGGCAATTATTACTAGTCAGACATTTTTTCTTATATTTAAACAAAAAGTAAATATTCCTTTGAATTTCCATGGGACAGAAAAATGTAATGCTGCTTTGGAGAGGCGGTTTGTATATACCATACCACACACAAAAATTTTAAATAAGCACTATGAATCTGATTAGAAGACGAATGGCATAACTTCAATGTGAAAAATTATCCGTTTGCCATATATTTAATCAAGAATGAGGCATACATTACAATCTGTTCAATTTATAGTCAATAAATTAGATTTCAGTAAAATGCTTTCATCTCCTGAAATTTGGAACAAGTGTCTTCTGTTGAAAACTCTTTTAGTTTCAAATTCGCCAGCGAGACAGGAACTCTGAACAACTCCATAGTTTTCCTCCTATCTTCAACTTCAATGAATTTAAATAATGTTTCTTATTTCTTACCTGTTCTACAGCGCTTTGGATAATATGTTAATAGCCACTAATGTAATTCGTGTCATAAGTTGTGTGCAATAACAACTTATAACTAGGTATTCCAGCATTTCTTAAAAGTTGAAAGGAAAATTAAGTACCGGGTCGCAAAATTATCTTTTATTACACTCAACCATACTCGTCCATGATTAAAAGACGTGTTACTTCATACGTCCTGCAGTTTGTTTTACACGCATGCTTTATGGCGCGACCCGGCTATTGTTTCCACCCTGGACGTTAAAATGTGCGTTGCACTAAGATAGAATGAAAATACTTGACTGGTTTTTGATTATTCATTTTGTAAACAATGCTATAATTTAATTTTACACATAAAACTGTGCAAATGCCAGGTGCTTGATCATCACAGCATCTGAATTAAATATGATTTCAACTTTATACTGTCTTTTTGCTAGTTTTAGTTAATCTCATTATTTATTAAAAAAACATAAGGTCCATTTTCGTAGCTACATTCATAATTTTCTACAATCTGAGATCATACAAACGAACTTGTTGACGATTACTCATGTGCATCGTCACTGAATACTAATAGAATAAGAAGAGGTATTATGGGGCAGTGTTTGACTCAAACACACAAAATTATATTTATTATTAGCGCGCGTCTACACCATTATCACACTGAACACATTTTTCCTTATTTTTCACGTATATTTACAATCGTCTAAAGTTCTATTATAGTGAAGAGAACATTAGTGATTGCCATGTGATCTAAACTAATTTTACCTTCAGAAACCACCAAAATTTTAAGCCATGCTTCTAATTCTCATGATCGCGCATCATAGTTCTGAATCTACTTAATTTTCTAATTCTAGGTACGTGCAAAAGTAAGCGATTTAAAATCAAACAAACGAATCAAGGATATAGGCGTTGCAGCGCCTGTATGTGACGGAGCCGTCGTGGTGATCGTTGGCGGAGGGCCGTCCGGTGCCACGTGCGCCGAGACCCTGCGCAGCGAGGGTTACCAGGGTCGAATCACGATAGTCTCCAAGGAGCCCTACTTACCTTACGACAGGACCAAGGTCTCTAAAATCGGTGCCGCATCCAATATCGAGACCCTCCAAGCTAGATCTCAAGAATATTACCAAAATGCCAACATTGAAATCCTTAGAAACACTGAAGCCACAAAAGTAGAACCAGATGAGCGGTTAGTGCACCTCAATGATGGCACCAAAATACGTTACAGCGCTCTGTATTTAGCAACCGGATCTGCACCTCGAAAACCGGATATTCCTGGAATAGATTTAAAAAACGTTTTTACTGTTAGAGATTACGAAGACAATACGAATATACTCAACACTTTAGGCGATAACAAAGATAAGAATGTTGTCGTCTTGGGGTTAAGCTTTATAGGATTGGAAACTGCCTCATCTTGCAATGAAAAAGCTAAATCGATGACTGTCGTCGGTAAAGACTTCGCTCCATTGGGTCAAATATTTGGAAGAGAAATTGGACAAAGCCTTGGAAAACTATTTGAAGATAAAGGAGTTAAATTCGAGTTTGATACCACAATTACGAAATGTAACGGTGAGAACGGCATGATAAAGTCCGTGGAGCTCGCCAACGGAACTACGCTACCAGCGGATGTTCTCATTTTGGGCGTGGGAACGACATTCTATACGAATTTCCTACGTGATAGCGGTATTGAAATTACACCCACAGGTTCGGTTAACGTGAACGACAGGTTGGAGACAAACATTAAAAATATTTACGCAGGTGGCGACATTGCTAACGCACCAGTATTCGCAAAGAATAATACACAGATGAGTATCGGCCACATAGGACTTTCACAGTATCACGGGCGCGTTGCCGCATTAAACATACTAAAAAAAGAAACGAAGTTGAAAACAGTACCTTATTTCTGGACGACAGTATTTGGGAAATCCATTCGTTACGCAGGCTGCGGAAAGTCTAATAGTACTTTAGTTGATGGTGATGTAGATGGACTTAAATTCGTCATTTTCTTTTTTGACGAATCGGATAAAGTTATTGCAGTGGCTTCTTGCATGAGAGATCCGATTGTATCCCAATTCGCTGAACTACTGTATCAGGGTAAAAGCCTTTATAAGAAGGATCTGAAAGCTGATGATCTCTATGCTTGGACGAAAAATATTAACTAATTTTTTATACAGCCTTTTGCATAAAATTGTACAATAATAAGTCGGATTATATAATTTGCCTCTTGTCCAGCATTTTATGTGCCACTTTGGTGGGCACAAATATTGTTAGGTAGGTAAAAAATAGTTATTTATTTTCTTTATAAACCCTACATTTTAGGTCACTTAAAGTTAAAAGATAGTTTTAAAATATTTTTACCAATCACAGAAATAGTAATCAATTTTATTCAAATGGAAAAACAGATAATGCTCAATTTACAGCATAAAGCATAATCTTATTTACTTGTCTCAAGTTCTGTCGCAAAATTGCTTTATATACATGGTGTATAATACAATGTTACAGTACAGCTGCTGAAATGGATTGAAGTGTTAATGTAGGTATTATTACATTGATAATTAAATTAAAAAAGTATTTCGTTTTGTAGTTATTAAAATCCAAATCACATAATATTAATAACTTTAACTGTTCAGTAATATATTGATGCTTTGACACATAAGTAAAATAGCTGTTTTAAATACCTTGAAATTCTTTTATGAGTTGAGAGGTATATTGTTATAGAAAAAAAAGAATAAAATTTAATGTAACTCCGTTGTTATGTGTATGTTTCATACACAATATCCCATTTAATCAGCTATTCCATAGTTTTGTACATCCTGTATACAATGGTGACGATTCATGATTCTCTAAACCTAATTTGACAACAGTGTATCCTTGTCATTCTCAATACAGAATGAACAGGCTTGACTGATGTTAAATTTCGTTTTCATTTAAAGAATCATGCCAACATCGACACCATTATCTCGTATGGAAAAGATTAAATAATTATTTATCTGTCCATTTAATACATAAGAGTCATTTGTATGCTATATCTAACAACTGCAAGATACTTTTACACTATCGTTTTCTGTGAGACAAATAGATTCTAAAGTTCCATAAGGGGTTAATTTATGGATTCAGACATTCAGTTCAAGTCCATTGTGGTTTATATACTGTGAAGTATTAATAATAATTTATTTTGATAATTCAGTATAGTAGTGTAATGAAAGATTACACTACTATACTGAATTATCAAAATTGCACAATTACGAATCTGCAATTACACTTAATGGTCCATACTCACATATGGTACTACTTGATAGTTTTACACTAACCCTACGAACAAACCTTTGTGTTGTGAGTTTTGCGGTCCACACATTGATTTTTACATAAATATAAAACTGTTGAGTTATACCATATGTAAGTATGGACCATAATGAAGAGTATTAATGAAGCCATATTTTTAAAGTAATTTTTAAATAGATTAACTAAATTCATCTATCACAAGTATTGTTCTTAAGACAAATATGTGCAGTAATCCTGTGATTAGTTAGTGTTTGCTTGATGTTACGTACAAGATTTTATATTACATGTTATCAGTACTTACTTTGTTATTGTTATGAATGAGCTATGTATTTTGGCTTTGCTGTATAAGTTCAGTGCTGTAGTCATAAGATTAAGATATTTTCGGATGATGTGATTTTATTATTATAATTTTGAATACAGTTTCAAAGATAATTTATGCAACTTGTTATAGATACTGTGAGTATGACACTGGTTGAACTAGTCATAACAGCCTCTCTGTCAGTTTTTTTTAAGTTGATTTCTTTGAGATAGTGATGGAATAAAATAACAGGGCCCGATCCAAGGGGGCGAGTCCGGCATTTGCCTAGAACGGCAAAATTGACTTAGGATCAGCCGGAAAGCACGTCACTAAAGGGCTGCAAAAATTTTGATTGGCACAATTTCTAGATAGAGCCCTTAAAGACAATACTTCACTGTGACAAGCTAATAGCACTTTAATGTTATCCCTGAGTGTGGTTGTTGGACTTAATTTTTTTTTACAAACAATTTATTAAAATATACTATTTCTCTTCTTGCTTTCTGAATGAGTAGGCAAAATTATCTCTGCAGCTATCCAGAATTTAACAAGCAAAATTAAAAGTTCTAATGTATTTATGATACAGTAATCCAACAGATGTTTTGCAGGACTTGGATAATCAAATTTGTCAGATTACAATCTAAGACTACCCTCTATATTATGGAATTTTTGGTAAAAGAGTACCTTGTAATCCGACAAATTACAAATCCATTTGAATTGATTTTATGTGCATATCAACAGTGATAAGGGTGTTGGATTAGACGGGGTCTGGATTACCACGGGTCTAATGCAATTGTAAAATCAACTAATCAGTCAATATTATCAGTAAATTTAATATTATCTAAGCTTTTTTTGTTATTATGCCAGTGCAGTTCAACATATGTTCAAGTTGGATTTGCTTTCATTTAGAAAGATTAATGTAATTGTTGTATGAATGCATATTTGGTTTTACTTCTAAGTGAATATTATACACAATATATTTAATGCTTTTTTGAATAAATAAAAACCAACATTTTTTGTATTATTTACATCTATTACATAATACAATTACTATAAATAATTTCAATCCCATCCTTCTGAAACACGTAGATGGCCAAGTCTCTCATAAAGAGTAACATCTTCTTTGAAAACACGTCTGGTTAAATTTTGAAAGCCAGCTAGCCTCTTTTCAGCTTTACCAAGAGCTTTTGAATGCCCAAAACTTTCAGCCTGATGAAAAGAAACAATCGTTCCAAATTAATTAAGATACATAAAACAAAGTACACCAATAATTATTATAAAACTATGGCCTACCTCTGTAAGATAAGGATGCCTTAAATAAAACATATTTTGTTCTTCTACAGCAAATTCAGCCTGAACCTTTCGTAGATGTTTCGATAATACTGGTTTAACAAGGCGATCTTTGCCTCTAAATATATGCCCATTCGGCATGAGGTTACGGCGGCAAAGTGCTTGGTATAGTTTCATGATTATGGATTTGTTATTTTAAGTAATCATACGAGATCAACTATAATTAGCTTAAGCACCCAATGTCTCTCGTTCAAAACAAAAGGTAATTAAAAGCTCAAAAACCTACTACGACACTAACAAAATACACATACTGGGCTACGTTCAAAACCACGCTTTAGGCCTGTAGGCGCACAAACTACTAAGAAGAATTTGACAATGGTGCCAATTCTGGCGTGATTCTCTAAACTTAAAACTAAATTTAACATCAATCTCTCCTTTTCATTCCTTAATGAGAATGACAAGGATACACTGTTGTCAAATTTAAGTTTAGGTTTAGAGAATCGTGTCAGAATTGACACCATTAATTAGCTTCATACAATGTCAGGGTAAAAAGTTACTCTCAGAGCGTAGGTTTTGAACGTAACCCAGGATTGACAATCACAGATTGCAGAGTTATCTTGATAACCATGTGGGGCTTGGGAGAAAACAATGGGGTTGATTCTCTTGACAATAGTCTACCCTTCTCATTCTGTATAGAGCATGACAAGGATACACTGTTGATAGTTTAATTTACCGAACCCAATCCCATTGACATTAGTGGATCGGAGTGCACGATATATATCGTCAATATTTTACAATCTATGTCCGTGATCTATGATCTATCAACAGCGGAAGACGCAGTCAAATTCGAATCCTGCCTGCCTGACACACCTTGACCGAGTTCAATACTTTTCTAGTAATTTTTGACGTGACAACGTCTTAAATTAGGTTGCGGCTGGGAGTCACTTATGAAAAAGTGTAACGCTCGGTAACGTTACGATGAGTCTCTCGTGTTAAGTTTAAGTTTACATGTACAATGTTTTAGTAAACAAAATATATTTCTATAGTTAAAATTTGTGCAATTCTTATTTTCATTCAATTCCTTGTTCCTATTGTGCAATTTAATTATATTCATATCAATAAATATTCTACCGAGAAAAAGACGTTGTCACGTAAAATCTTCGCCCGTAAAACCGACTTTACAGGCAACCATTTTTTTTTTTCTTTAGATTTATAAATCGAACAGATTTATATTTAAATATTAAATAAAATAAACCAGAAAATGTTTTTTCATTTGACATTGTGGTTTACCTAAAATTCGTAGAAATGACGCTGTCTAGCACTCTAATACCCGCCATACACACTACGAGAAATCGTTACGATCAGACTGTACAGTTCGAACGGTACAGTTTATACGATTTCGTTTAGTATAGGAAACTGTGCAGTTTTATAACATACACGCTACGATTTATCGGTACTGTTCGGACTGTACAGTCTAATCGTAACGATTTATCGTAGTGTGTATGGCGGGTATAAGAAATACTAGAAGTAATTCGACTCAGTAGCATGGCGGTTCGTGCCTCTGCCCAGAGAGCAGGAGATGCAGGTTCGAATCCTGCCTAATACCTTGACCAAGTGGTATTTTTCTTAAGATTTATAAATCGAGCAGATTAGTGCTTAATAATGAAATTTAATAAACCACAAACAAATAATGTGCGATATATCGAAAATATCGATATATTTAAGAATATATCACAAAAAATCGATATAACACTACGATATATTATATCGAAAAAAATGTTGATATTTTTTTACATAAACATCCCTACTTGCGGACACTAAAGCCAGAAACTTATGTATTAACGTGTTTTGTCGTGCGGTGATGTGCCAGAAACACATCGGTTTCATACATTTACTATGGTTAGAGGCATATTTACGTGTCGTGTCGTGTCGACTCTCTTACCGCTCTCTCTAACCCATACTTGTTACTTGTGGTGGGCCCCCGTTTCCGCACGTAGACTTCGTACTTGGTCCATTGTGCGTGCAGGGTATGTTGGGCTCAGCCAGCCCAGCTCCTTCCAGAAGCGCAGTAGTCTCTCTGGGTGGGTGTGTGTGTGGGACTCTCACAGGCTTCTAGGAGCATCCTCAGCTTCCTGAGGATTGATGCCTGGTGTTCTGCCACGCACGTGCATTCCAGGATCACATGAGCGGCAGTTTTATCTACTTCCAGACATCCTCAGTATAGAGAGCTATCTGTAACACGTATGTTTAGTAAATGCTCGTTGAGTAGGCAGTGTCCTGTTATGGTGCTCAGTATTACTCGAAGATTTAATAGTTTTCTACTTAGTCTGGGGGTGAGGCTGGGAAAAATATCCTTAGATTGCCTGCAGTCCTCGGTACTGGCCCAACGGTTGTGATGGCTTTGTATGGTTTGTTGCCGTATCCATGTACGAATTTGATTGAAGGGTAATGGTAGAAGTGGCTCAGGGCCTTCAACTTTTTGTGATGTTCCCCTTCTAGCTAGTTCGTCGGCTGCGGCATTACCCACAGAACTGCTGTCTCTTGATCTATTGGAGGGTAACCTTGTTATCCGTTGCTATGCACTCCAATGCTAGGTAACATTCGTATACTAGCCCAGAAGTTTTCCTGTTACTATCTAGGGCTCTTAGAACAGCCATAGTATCAGATAATATACATATCTTGGAGTTTTTGACTTTCCTCTTAGTAACAGCATTCGCATTGGAATATTGAGCAGTGACTATCCAGTGCCGTTGATATATGGATGTTAAGGTACAGTGAGAAGACTCCTGCGCCTGATCCGAATCCTGGTATTTTGGATCCATCAGTGTATATGCGTAGTTCGTCTGTGCCTGACCAGTCCTTGTTGGTTTCTAGTAGTTCTATTTGATATTTCTTATCAAATGTAAGAGTAGTTGGGATTTCATCACAGCGGACTGTTACAAGAGGTTGGTATTGTATAGCACTTTCCAAAATTTTGGAGTGAGATCCCTGGTTTTCCGTCCACAAGCCCAGGTGATACTTCTTAGCGCTGCCATAGTTGCTTCCTATTGTATAAAAAGAGAGAGTGGCGGGAGGTCAAGCGCTATTTCTAGGGCATTTGTGGGTGTTGATTTCATGCATCCTGTTATAGCAGAACATGCTTTAACAGGTCTCAAGTCAAGTCTTTTAAAACGCTGCAGTTTATTTATTAATTGTGAGTTTGGTTCTGGCCACCAAACTACTGTACCGTAAGTGATGAGTGGTCTGATTATGGTTGTGTAAAGCCATTTTGTGATTTTTGGTGCAAGTACTAGGTAATACTAGGTCGTCCGCATAGCCAACTGTGTGGTGACAATGTTCCAAAGGAGAGAGGATAAAATGCCTTCCTGTGGGCAGCCCCGTGCCACTACGGCTCTCTTCGTAGGTTTTTGTAAATTACAGTTGAGTGTTGGCGAGCGGTTGTAATAGTACAAAATTACACACATATGCCTTTTACATACGAGAGATCTTGATTCCACACGATTGGTGTCGATTCTGGCATGATTCTCTAAACCTTACTTAAGTTTGACAACAATGATGTCGATTCTGACATGATTCTCTAAAGCTAAACTAAAATTTGACAACAGTGCATCCCTGTCATTCTCTATACAGAATACTAATGTTAAATTTAGTTTTATGTTTAGAGAATCACGTCAGAATCGACACCGGTGTATCATTGTCATTCTCTACACAGAATGAAAAGCAGAGACTGATGTTAAATTTAGTTAAAAGTTTAGAGAATCATGCCAGCATTGACACCAATGTGTAATTAAACACAAAATGGCAACGCTGCTGCAGGACCTCATTCAACAGTGGTCACAAAAAACGGTATCCCATCCCTCAGTTTGCCTAAATTCTAGCCTGTAAGCATAGACAAATTATTTAACTAAATCTATGGTCTTTGTCTATGACAGTATGGCTGTCGATCGAGCGTAGGTAGGGTAGTGTTCGTAATTCAGTAAATAATAGTTTGTGGAAAACATATTGAATTTATTATTTTAAAGATCTACTTACATACTAAATGAGTATGGAATCAATTAGCTGAAGAATTTATGCGACTTTGGGCGGTCTTTGTTTTTGGTAAGTCAATATTTTTGTCAATAAAAAGCTTCATAGAGAAATGGATAATTACAGCTTCAATTACTGTATTTTTTTAAACTGTTGCTACTAATAATCAATGTGACACGCGAACATAATCATCTGTATTACCCTTATATAAATTTGCACTTAATATGCATTAAGTAGTGATATTAACCGTCACACAATGAGTTCACTTCGGTACCCTTTCACTTTATTGTCTACATTATTTTCGTGCTCTACTTAATTCGAGCTTAGATTTTGATAAACGACTGTCGCTGTGGACAGTTAGAACCTCGCTAATAGCAGTGACTGATTAGTTTTTTGCAAATAAACAAAAGTATTTAGTAGTTTGTTCTAACTGTCTTAACATGGAGATTAAATAATAATAATGTGTAATATAATCTTTGCCGGTTTAAATTAGCAAGGTACTTTATTCCCATATGAATGATGTTACACTATTTTTGAGTCCATTATTATCAAATATTTTTATTTTGGTTAAACAATCATTTCAGTTGGAACTTGGATTTTTAGTGAAATTAATTTTATGCTCAATAAATAATCAAATGCTTTATGAATATATTCTTATTAAAGTAAGTGTTTTTTAAATCAATTAAAATTCATTTCAAAACTCACTAATTTTTTGTATGTTGAATATAAATAGCCTTGCCACATAAAAGTTAGTTTGGACTAAACACAAGCTAATAAATAAAATGTCAGTCTCTTGACATAGTTATTAAATAGTGTAAACATTTTTGTTGTAAAACCCAACTAATGCTTACATTATTAAATTGTTACATTATTGCTGGGCTACAGGAGTTCCCTATGGTTGGAAAGGGACACAGCCCCATAGTGGATTGGTGAATGAGAATAATTATTAAAAATGCCTTTGAAGCTCCAAGTAGCTCAAGGTAGTAAGTTTTTGGTCACCAATTCTGTGACCAACCACTGCAAACTTCCCTGATCGTAGACAAATCATTAGGCTTACCTCAGATGCATCCCAGTCTGACCAGGATTGCCCTTGCTATTAACATATGTCCCATTGTCCCAGCTGGTTTAGTAATTTGTCCTGGTTGTTGCTT